CTTCAATCACTGACCGAAGAAGAAGGAGGGCAGCTGGAGGGAAAATCAGCCGCCGGAGGGACACCGTCGCCGCCGCACCAGGGCCACCGTAGACGCCAAAGAAGGTAAAAAAAATTTTCTTTCACATGGAATTGAATTCCGAACCTCCTTACACCCATATCAGAGCAAAAAAGGTAGCAAGAAAGCCAGAAAATGCAAGCAGAGCTCGGCTAAGCTGCTGCTGCCGCAACCCGAAAACCTCTCCGATGACTCCCTTCTCGTTTCCCGTTCCCCTCGATTTTCTTAATCATCGTGACCCTCGTTTCGTTCTAATGCAGGTTAGCCGAATAAACACCCCGACCGCAAAGGAGGAACAATAGAGCCGCTGCAACCGGAGATCCTTCCGCCGGGGGCGCCTGCAGACGGCAACACCACTGTGTTGGAACCCTAAATTGGCTGAAAAAATTTAAAAACACCTATTTTGGCATTTTGAGGTATTTTTGGATATGTAATATGTATTTTTAACATCCACAAGAAAAATTCAGGAAACCCAAAAACCGCTAGGAGGCGCAGTGAAACGTACGGTGTTTCGAACACCGATTCGGGATAAAAATCTCTCACCATTTTCTCCGTTATGGTAAATTGAAACTTAATAATCAACAACATTATGTTTGTGAAAATTAGAAAAACCCTAAAATTTATTACAAGTCATCAGTGGAGCCAGAACTGATCAGTATATAGTTTATCTGTGTTGTACAATTATTTCTATATTATCTTAATTGCTTACCGTTATATCGGGTGCTTTAATTTATTAACTAATTGCCTTTTCAATTATTAATTTACATAACCGTTTTATCTATATCCGTTGATTGATCTAAAATAAATGTTCTAATCGTGTTTTCTCAATTTTATATGTTGTCTATTTGCATGATTTACAGTTGATTGGTATAAATGAGATGTTGATATGCGATGTGTGATTGGTTGATGATGTGGATTTGTGGATGAAAAGCTTATCGGGTACCCTAGGGAAGGGTGTGCAGACCCGATACATATGGAAAACCCAACCGTGAACATTATCTCAATTAAATGGGACTAAGAAGTCCCACACTGGAAGGAATTGGGAGGTAGAATTCACTATCATACTAGATAGGGTATTAAGGGAGTGGTATGTTTGGCGCCCATTACCGGACGGGATATGAGGACAGTAGGTTAATCGAGACATTGAATATTGAGTTCACGTATAAGGGGGATATCCCTATGAACTCCCAGAAGTACTAGTAAGTAGGTAAGTTTATTCTTATTACTCATTTGAATATAAAATCAAAATACAATTTGGGTTATTGACTTCAAAAGCTGATTTTGGGAACTCATAAGGGTAAATATGAAACTTATGTTTTTTATATTAAATGAATTTATTTACAAAAGCAAATGACTCCATTGGTTATTTTATAATTTTTTACCAACCTTCAGTTTTTCGTCTCAGTATTAAATGTGATATTTTTACTGAATTAGCGTAACTCATTCTCCTATTTAATCATTTCAAATCAAGAAAATCAAGATTTAAATCCTGAACAGTAGGAGGGTTGCGAACAAAAGTTACCTCTCGGAACCCATCGGAGTTGTCAAGTGGAGGTTAACCCCATAAAATTTTTATTTCGTTTTGTTTTAATTATTTATTCCGTTACTTTACACTTCTATAAAGAAACATTCTCGTAATTCTATTAGATATCCTGATTTACTATGTAAGAAATGTTAACTTTAAATTTTAAATTGTTTTCGCTTATAGTTGATACAATTCGATATTTCCATTTTCTTAAGTTCTAGGTCTTTACACTTTTAATTTTCTAATTGACACAAATTTATTTTATAGATTGGAGCCTTCAGATTTTGAAGAAAATTACAATTAGCATATACAAAATCTTGAAATATACAACTTCTTAATTATTTGAAAAACGTTTATCTTTTATATAACTAAATCTACTCCATTAACGGAAGATAATTTAACTGGTTTTTCATGAAATGCACGTGATGTATGAATTACAAAAATTTTCCAATATGAGCTGTGAATTAAGTAAAAACAACAAAAATACAGAAAATCAAGACAAAACCTTGATACTGCATGAAGAAATATCACGGAAACAAGAATATAAGGAGTTAACAGAAATAGAAATTTCTTACTCTAAAAAACATACTGGTCTATGAATGGAAAGACCTAGTAACAACAGAAATCTGAATAAGGTCACAATAATAGCCAAAAACTAAACCCAAAAATCCAAGGTGTAAATTGGCCTATTTTATATAGCTAAAGTTCAATATTTGAAGAGTTTGGGGGCTTACCTAAAAATACTAGTATAGTATCGGTTAAACCGAGATTTTACAACATAAAAAACTGATGTTGAATGTGGCTTGGCATTAAAAATAATTAAGAAAACGCAACTCCATGCTCTTTCATTTCATATACCACCATAATGAGATGTAAATGCTCCTCCAAATTTATAGATTAAAAACCTCAGAGTTGATGTTTATGTAGTTGCATCAGCATATCCAAAATATAGAATCAAGGCTTTTCCAAGTATCATTGACTAGCAGAACCTCCACATAGTACGAAATAAACCCAGCGCACAGAAATTTGTCGCATAGATGTCTCTTTAGTATCACCAACTTAAACATGTTCTTACCAATCAAAACCGAACTACAATAAGTGAATTTTTTGCTCAAAATCAAAGACATGATGACACCAAAAATTTACACGACAACTAGTTAATTAAAAGAAGAAAGCGGGAGAGAAACCTGAAATGGCTTTTAGAACAGCTTCTTGAGGAGGTCCTTGATCGTGGTCATCCGCAGAGGAAGGTGATGGATTATCCTTGTAAGAGCAATTAAGCTGAGTGGATTTTGCGGAATGGAAATTTCGAGCCCTAATCGCCTCACAACATCGATATCTAAGCTTGTCCTGCTCCGAACAAGTACCTAAGCGCCTCAATGAACGAGAAGAAAAGGAAGAAGAAGACGAAGAGAGGCCAACGTTCGCATTCAAGGGCCTCCATGTCTCAGTCAAGAACACCGAACGCAAAACCGTCCTGCACCCCATCTCTCTCTCTCTGTCTCTCTAATTTCAATTTTAATTTTATAGTTTTGCTAAGCAGTTGGATTTTTATGCGTGGAGAAACTCCTCCTCCTGGTTTCTGCTATTTATATCTCCCGTGTGAACCAAGACAGCCTTCCTCATACACACATACATATATATATATATATATATGTACACAATTTTTCTAATTAATATATATATATACACACACACACACACACATACACACACTTTTAAATTGGCTTAGCTCTATATTTGGTATTTCATTTTTCCATGAAAAATTGATTATTACTTTTTTGAAAAATAAATCAATTCTGTATTTGAGTACAAAAATTTTGGATGGAAGCCGAAGCCAATCTTACTCTGATCTTATCAATGTCCTCATCCGACGTTTTATTTCTTTCTTTCTTTTTGTATAACTTAAAAAATTTCATAATCTAATTATATCCTAAGGTTTTATAAGCTATTGCATGTAAAACATTATTTATTTTTAATCTTTTATGTATTTTTTACTAGTTTAAGTAGCATTTATAAAATAAAATACCATATAATTAAATAAAATAACATTTAACAATTTTAAGTACATGTAACTAAAAAATATATAAATATAAAAAATTAAATTAAATTACTACTAAATAAGGTTTTGATTTTGAAAACCAACTCGCACTGTTTTGTTGGAAACCCTAGAATTGAGTAATTATAATTTGTTTATGAGTCGGGTGCTACTCAATTCTTGCCTGATCACGACTCCACTCGTTTGCTGATACCCGACTCAGTGGAAATGTACGGAGCCGATAAGAATTCCGACGATGCGGAGCAAACAGCTTTCAGGCGAGCAGAGAAAAAGTACAAGCTATACTACGGCCAGGACTCTAAAAAGTAAATCAACCTGTAATAAAAATTGCTTGATATTCATTTTTTTTTTTTCTTTCGATAAGAAAAATATTTGTCCATTTTAATGGTTTTTTCTTTTTATTGTTTGATTTTTGCAGGAAAAAGCAACCCAAACAGGTGGATTTATCTCAGGTTTTGGACTTCACGTCCATTCTTGATTCTTACAATCAAAATGGCGAGCTTCCTCCACGAATTACAGCTCTTGAATGTGGATTTGGTAGACCGGTTTTCTGCCTGGAAGACCGCCCAGGTACTTATATTTCATCTGTTTCCATAATTTCCCCGCTATGGCGATCGTTGCATTTTGTTATAATTTTATTAGAATTTGTGAGTTTGCTTTTGTCAAATATTTTAGATTAAGGTTGGAAGAAATAAAGAATTTGTGGAGTAGTTTAATCAGGAGAGGCTGAAAATTCTATCTACAATGATAAAAATTGAGCTCGAGGAGAGTTGAAAAAATGCATTCCAAATTTCATCAGGTTCTGTAGAGTTTGGGATGCATTTTCCATTTAATTGATGAAACTTAGAATACATTATTTTAATTTCATTAAGATTTCTTATTAATTTAATGTTTATTATTTTCTAATAAAATTTTCATCCTACTAAACTAGGTGTAAATTTCCAAATGAATTTTTATAAAACATTAGTTCCTAAGTTTAAGTTATTATTACTCTGGACTGACCATTCAACTAAAGAAGATCTCCATTGACTGTATGCTTCTTTCGTTCTTCCAAATCTTAGACCAACTGTCGCAAACTTTGAAATATTTTTACTTCTTGGGGCAGAGCTTTCTTCACTGACTTGTAATTTGGTTGGAGCGGGATGCTAGAATTTTTTTTGGAATTCGCCTTTCCTGATTATTTGGATAAGTTCAATTTTTACCTTCTGTCTGGGTCAAATTGCTGAATTACAACTCGCATAGTTATTGTAAGGATATCTAATTGTTAATGTTGTGCAAAGATTGGCATGCTATTCTCTATAATGATTAGCTAGATTTTCTCTTGTGTTTCTTCTTCTCTTGTGTTTTTTTTATCTCAAAAAAGTTCTTCTTTGTTCTTAATAACATATCTTCTTTTTCTATTAAAAAAATACTCTACTAGTACTTCCCTTTTTTACATTCATGAATCAGCCTGTGGGTATATATTTCTAATATATAATGTTGTATCTGAGACTGAATTTCATGTTCTCATGCCGTTACCATCATTGCGGCTTTAAACATACAGGCTTTTATTTCATGCCTGGAGCATTGAGCTTGGAGGAACAGTGCCAGTGGATAAGGGAGAGTTTAATGAGCTTTCCACAACCTCCTAACAGAACAAATCACAATGCAATGTATGGGCCTATACATGATCTTTTCAAGGCAGCAATGGAGAAGAAAATACTGGTTGAGGATTTGGGTTTGGCTGCTAGTTTGGATTGTAGATCCAATTCCCGTATTGCTAATGGCAACACCAATAAATGGAAGTTTTATGAGGAACAATTCTTGCAATCAAGAGGAAAAACATGCAAATCAATTTCAGCTTCTGTACTTCTACGAAAGCTTAGATGGAGTACCCTTGGCCTACAATTTGACTGGTCAAAGGTGATCTCTCATCATCCATTTTTTTGGATCTTAATCTGTTTACTTTTTGAATAAATAATTTAAGATTCTGGAGCTGTAACCACCTATTGAAATAGAACAAAACTATTTTGGTATAAGGAATTTGAAAGCTCTGCTGCAGCGCATCATTGGTTGGATTGGGTTATTGTTAAATTTGTAATTTTGAAATGTATGGATAAACTCTGAATCATAATCAATTCTTTTTCCTTTATATTTTGTAGCGGAACTATGATGTATCCCTGCCACACAACAAGATACCAGATGCACTTCATCAGCTGGCCAAAAGAATGGCTTCACCTGCAATGCCTGTGGGGGAAGAATTCCAGCCAGAGGCTGCCATAGTGAACTACTTTGGTTTAGGTACCTAACGGGTATAACCTTTCTGTCAGACAAAGCTTCTCATTCTTTACTATATGGTTTAATTTCTGCTCTGGTTAAAGCAAGAAAAGAAAATTATAGTTAAAGACAAATTTAGCTCTGGTTACACTTAGGACATCTGGGAAGTGGAATTTCTTTTGAATATGTGCAATTCTATTTCAAGAGTGGTCTTGTGTTCTTCTTTTTTCTTGCCCAACCGAGCACATAATACTCGTAACGCCTTACATCAGGCTACACGAAGGAGCACTTTGCCTCAAAGCAGGGGCTTCAACAATAAAGGTCTTGTTGATATCTGAGAAGCTAAGCTGATAAACCTTTTGAGAATTGGTTAGTTGTTTGCATGATTAAGAAAAACTCCTTTCCTTTTCCCTCTTTCTTCATATTCATATTTATATCTAGGCTTTCGAGACCTTATAGATATCTTGATAGACTTTTGAATATTTGTACATAGGTCGCACTCTTTTGGAGCTTTTGGATATATACATTGTTTATATTAAAAAAAAAAATCAAACATTCTGTTTCTCCTTTTCAGGGGATACCCTTGGTGGCCACCTGGATGACATGGAAGCAGATTGGACCAAACCTATAGTGAGCCTGAGGTATCTTGCTGCCTATTTCTCTTTGCAAGTCTTTGCCTAGTCCCTTCAATAAAGAGGGTTTGGGTGGGTGCACATATCTTGTTGGTAGTAACTTGTAGTTTTTTCTCCTGTACAGTTTGGGTTGCAAAGCTATTTTCCTTTTAGGAGGAAAATCTAGAGAGGACACACCATTAGCAATGTTTCTCCGGAGTGGAGATGTTGTGCTTATGGCTGGAGATGCAAGAGAATGTTTCCACGGTGAGTGTTTACTTTTCTTGATTTTCTCCGTGTGGACTTATTTGGAAGTGGATAAGCATTTCATATACAAAAACAATCCTCTATGACTAGTTCCATAAAAACTTCTCAAAAGTCATAATAGCTCTGGAAGTGGCGAAGCCACTCTTACATTCAAAAAGTTACTGGCCTTCCAAAGGTGATTTGCCACAAAATTTGTGAGTTGGTGCTGGGTTTGGAGAATTGGGATGAAAGGCCCGTGATGAGTCAATAAAACCAATCAATGATCTTCAAGGCCCTAACAACAATTGCGTGAAGCCCATTTAACGAAAAATGTGTAACTGTAGTGGAAAAGAAAATGGAATCAATGAGCTCTAACTAAGTTCAGGATTTTGATGACCTCCCATTTGAACATCAAATAGATCTTAAGGATCAAGTGAAGAGTAACGGACAATTAAAAGATATAGAATTTAACTTATTGTAGAAGAGCTTTGGTGTAGGACAAGTGATAAGAAAGTAGAGAAGAAAAATTGAAGAAGTTCCCATAGGAAAAGGGGATCGGGTAGAAGAAATGGCAGAAGGAAAAGTGAAAAGTAGGCTAGAACTTTAGATTAGAAAGGAAGATCTTAAATCAGATATTAGAAACATGCTTAATCTTTTCTAAGCTAACATATAGGTGCCAAGTACAATCAATTAGGGAAACCACAAGATAATAACAACTGAAATAAAATGTTTCTAAATCCTAATGAAATTAAAAAAATCTGTCTAAAGAACCTTAACAAACTAAAGATGCTACTATAAACAATTATAAGATGACAATATATTATTTTAGTTACTACCAAAAAACTTTTTCCAATTTAATTTGTTTTTCTTCTGAATCCAGTTTAGTTAACAAGTATGAACAAGGAAACATTTTCTACTATGGCGAGGATGATATATGTACAATTAATTCTAGCCACTGTCACACATATGGATATTGACTTACATTTAGTGAATCTGAAAAATTGGATTCCTTTGTGAGAAAGTTGATGAAGAAACCCACATGCAACAATCAATAGAGAGGCCATTGAATCTACAGTTTGCAATTTTAATCAGACTATCTATTCAGCAATCATCCACACTAGCATATTTGCTTCTATAATTACTTATGGAATTCTTATCATTCGATGAGACTATTGTGTTTGATACCAAGATGTCTAAAGACTTTTTCCATGATATTAATTTATGTGGACAATATTCTTGTGCTGGAAATAGCATAGAGTTTGTCCTAACAATCAAAGCTTGGTTAATTTCCAGCTTTGAGATGGAAGACGAGTGAAGCAGCTTGTATACTTGAAGTTAAGATCCATAAAGATGA